CCTGGCTCCTCAGAAGAAGGAGAGATCCATGAACATGCTGGTTCCCAACTTAATGAGAAAGCACAAAACAGTCTTAATTTTAAAAGTTATAGATATCAATCTTCTCATCCCACTGATCAAATAATTAGTGATATAAATAAGGGGATTCAAACGAGAACAAATGTTTTTCAAAACTTTTGTGCTTTCTATTCTTTCTTGTCTAATGTAGAGCCTACTGACTATAAAATGGCATTGACTGATCCTGATTGGGTACTAGCTATGCAAGATGAGTTAAATCAGTTTCAGAGGAACCAGGTTTGGCACCTGGTTCCCCGTCCCAAGGAAAGATCAGTCATTGGCACTAGATGGGTCTTTAGAAACAAGTTAGATGACCTTGGTACTATAGTCAGAAACAAAGCAAGGCTAGTGGTGCAAGGGTACAATCAACAAGAAGGAATTGACTATGATGAGACGTTTGCACCAGTAGCTAGGCTAGAGGCTATTAGGATTTTAATTGCTTATGCTGCTCACATGAATTTTAAGCTGTTTCAGATGGATGTAAAGACTGCCTTCCTCAATGGATATTTAAAGGAAGAAGTATATGTGGAGCAGCCACCTGGTTTTGAAGATGCACCTTTCCCCCAACATGTGTACAAGTTGGACAAAGCATTATATGGGTTGAAACAAGCTCCGAGGGCTTGGTATGAAAGATTGTCCAATTTCTTGATGGCAAATGATTACAAGAGGGGAACAATAGACAAGACCTTGTTCATAAGAACCAGGGGGAAACACTTGATTGTAGTACAAATTTATGTTGATGATATTTTATTTGGTGCTACTAATCAGGTTTTATGTGATGAATTTGCTAATCTTATGCAGAGTGAATTTGAAATGAGCATGATGGGAGAACTAGGATTCTTCCTAGGGCTGCAGATTAAGCAAATGGATGATGGAATAATGATCCATCAACAAAAGTACTTAAAAGAGTTGCTGAAAAAATTCGGCATGGAGAACAGCAAAGCTTATGATACACCTGTTCCCCCATCTACAAAATTAGATGCTGATCTTAAGGGAAAAGATGTTGAAGCTTCTCTTTATAGAGGAATGATAGGTTCTCTACTTTACCTAACAGCTAGTAGACCTGACATTGTGTTTTCTGTTGGTTTGTGTGCTAGGTTTCAAAGCAATCCAAAGGAATCTCACTTGAAGGCTGTTAGAAGGATACTTAGGTATCTTGTAGGAACAGCAAATCTGGGATTGTGGTACCCCAAAGGCAGTACCATTGATCTTATTGGATACACAGATGCAGATTATGCTGGTTTCTTAGTTGATAGAAAGAGCACATCAGGTATGGCACACTTTCTTGGCTCTTGTCTAATTTCATGGGGTTCTAAAAAGCAAAATTCAGTGGCCCTATCCACGGCAGAGTCTGAATATATAGCTGCAGCTTCATGCTGTTCCCAGCTACTGTGGATAAGGAACCAGCTGAAAGATTTTGGTGTTATTTATAAAAGTGTTCCTATTTTTTGTGATAACACTAGTGCAATCAATATTTCAAAGAATCCTGTGCAACACTCCAAGACAAAACACATTGAAATAAGACACCATTTTTTAAGAGACAATGTGGAAAAAGGATTGGTGGAGATGTTGTTTTGTAAAAGTGAAGATCAAATTGCTGATATCTTCACAAAGCCTTTGTGTAGAGAGTCTTTTTGTAGGTTAAGAGTCCTTTTAGGTCTAGTTAGATTTTAGGTATTGGCTTCAATTACTTCCTTCAATGATTGGTTAGAATGGTATTCTCTTGTATAGTGTGTGTACATACTTATGTTGATATCTTTCAAGTGTTGTGTAGATGGTTCAAAATCTCAAAAGGATTGAGAATCATTGTTGTAAGAAACAGGTGAAATCAGGCTGAATTGCCAGAAACAGCGTGACATGGTTCTATACAGGTACCAGCAAAGGGAAACAGCAGACCAGCTCTGATATGTCATCCGATAATATCTTTTATTTTCGGAAGATTACTATAAGATATTTCCTTTTGGAAGGAATTTATCTTATTTCAGTTATTTAATCCCATATAAAAGGCAAACATATCATATGCCTTATTTATAGTTGGTTGAGATAATTATGGTAAAAGATAATTACCAAATTTTTGATTTCAATTTAAAAATATCCTTTACAGTTGCTTTTTATTGGCTCAACTAACTCTTTTCTTTCCTTCTTCTCTCTTTGTGCTTCATTGTTAAAAATATACACTAACCCTTTGTGCAGATCATCAATCATCATCACTCGAAATTCTCTTTCTCTCTCTCGTATGCTTTAAATTCATCATTGTTCATTCGGTTACTGTTCACTCAAGGAACCAGCTCAGTCTCAGGGGGAACATCAGAAGGAAGCATAAATGTCCTTAAGCCCGAAGTTGGAGGAAATTCAGAAAAGTCAGAGTGAAAAGGATGAAATAGAGGTTGTTGGTTATTATGAGGAGACACCCACTGCTAAGACCATGGTACGAAGTAGAATAACTCAATTAAAGAAGTTCACTGAGAAGGTGCAGGAGGAACAGTCCATTGACGCTGTTCCAGGAACCAAGAGAAAAAGGGTACCAGCAAGAACCTCTTTGCTTGATTGATGTGATGCTAGTTTTGCACTCGTTATGCAACAAGGAGAACAGTTTTGCACTCGTTATGCAACAAGGAGAACATTCTGAATCAGTACATATCTCTCATGCTTTCTTTAAAAAAAAAAAAAATAAAAAAAAAAAAAAAATAAAAAAATAAAAAAAAAAAAATAAAAAAAATAAAAAAAAAAAAAAAAAAATAAAAAAAAAAAAAAATAAAAAAAATAAAGAGGAACCAGCAGGTCAGGAAGTGGTTTTGAAACAGATTGGGGAATCACAAGAATATGCTTAGTAATATAATGATTTTGGTTTAAGCAGAGCATGGTGACAAGGATGAAGAGGAATCAGATGATAATACAGAAGATGTTGCAAAGTTCGAGGAGGAGGAAGGGAACGAGAATGATGATGAGGAGTGATGCTGTTTCTGTTCTTGTTTTCCTCATCCTCATGTTTATTCTTAAATAACTGATTTTGTTGGTCTGTCTACTTCTCTCCATTCCATGAACTTTCTTTTTGGATGGATTTGGGCTTCCTTGGTTGAACTTTGTTGGCTTGTATGAACTACTAACTCTGCTATGGTATGAACTGTTTGACTAATCTCTTTTTGCAGCATAATGCTTGAATGGTGGTTGATGCCATTGTATGGATAAGCACATTAACTTGTGCACATTGCTTTTACTTGTGGATACTTTTTAATGATGCCAAAAGGGGGAAGTAGTCTGAAGTTGAAGCCTAAGGTTTAGCTAGTTTAGATTGAGTCAGTTTGAGTCTTTTTATTTCGTATTTTCTATTTTCTGTTTAGGGAACCAGTTGGCCTAACTGACTTGTTCCAAAGAGTTTTGAGTCCTTGAAGTTTTTGACGGTTTTTCTTTTTGAGCATGTCCACAGGTTCAAGAACTTCAAGAGTTTGTCATCATCAAAAAGGGGGAATTTGTTGAGTCCCTTAGGTTTTGATTGATAGTTTTGAATGATGACAAACAGCTAAGGGAAACAGGTCCTTGAAAGTGTTCGATACAGTTGGGGGAACCAGCTAACATAGAACACTGTTTCCCCAGACAAGTTATTACTTACATGAGTTTTCTTATTGAACTAACTTGTCTTTATACAGGGAACAGTTATATGATAAAAGTGTTATGTACTGGTAGGGAACCAGTATGTACTGTTTCCATGGTTGCTACGTGGTAAAGCAGTCACATACTCTTTATTGTGCATTAACCATGTTACATGTGCAGTAGTTGAGTTGATTCCAAGACTTGGAGCATAGAAGCCTTTCGAAGATATTTCGAAGAAAGATTGTTTGCTCATAATAGAAGTATTCAAGGAAGATTCAAGTCTTGAAGATTACATGAAGAAAAGACGATTTATGCTTTAATATGTTATCTAGGTTTTCATGTAATATGCTCCGTAGTATGCTTGCATGTTTGGGTTATATAAGTGCTTAAAAGTATATTGAAGTATGATATGAAATCTGGTACAAAGTTGGAACAGGTTTCATAACATGTTTCAATTCAGGGAACCAGGTCGGGGAACCAGGTTCACTGTATTCGAGCTGCCGTTTTGGAAAAAGATTTTACAAAAAGATTTTTTTTCGAAAAGATTATTTTGAAAATATTTTGTGCAGCAGGAAATAAGATGAAATATTCTTGGTTACCTAAAAACTAGGAGTATTTATCTTAATTGATTCTATCTTTGTGATTAAATCAAATAAGATAAAAACTTTCCTAAAATTACATTATATCTTATTCTCTAAGATTGTGTGATTTAAGGAAACTAGGTTTTAGGAATCTAAGCTTATATAAACTCATCTTATTTCACATATTTTGTGTGCCTCTCCAGAAATTAAAAGAGCAATTATTTGAGAGCATATACTTAAGCACTAATCCCATTCATCAAGTCATATACAAGAGCATTCTAGTACTTAAACTTTTTCTCTTAATTAGCTTCGTAGAAGTGAGATCAAAGGAGAGTTTTTGATTCTTGTATTGAGTCTTTAACAAAGGGGTTAAAGGCTGGGTGAGTGTTTGTGAGTTCAAACACATTGGGCTTACGAGTGTAAGTCGAGAGCACACTCGGAGTAGAGTGTGGGGTTTGCTGGTTCCCGGAGTAGGGAACAGCAGAGTGTTCTTTGTCTTTGTTTTTCGGAGTAGATTAATAAAGATTTTAGGATAGGAGGACGTAGGCCTGAGTTGGCTGAACCTCGTTAAATTTGTTGTGTTCTTTATTGCTTTGTTTTATTTCGTTAAATTTGTTGTCTTCTTTATTGCTTATTTATATTCCGCTGCGTACGGGAACCAGCACAACTGGTTCCTCACACATAATCCGAAAAGAAGCAAAATTAGCCAACGATTACTTAACACTCAATTCACCCCCCCCCCCTCTTGAGTGCCCATTGAACCTTCATCAACCCCAACAAAAGAGAAATTGGGCCAGCCCATAAAATCCTTAAGAGACTGAGGCAAATAATCCAAGTAAAATAGTTGGATTATGAGACATTTTGTGTCAATGCAAAGTTGAAGAGTAGCTGATTTGTTGCTCATATTTGACACTTGATGAGGCCTCCACTCTATGTCTAGCCCTACCACCGTTGATCTGCCTTCGGTGACGTACCGTGGCAAGATATCTGCCACCCATTCATCGATCTCTTCTGCTTTGTTTGTCAAAGTTGTGACTACGTTTGCACCACCAAAACTTACTATGTATTTGTTGGTGTTCATCTTTTGGTGTAACTGAACAATGGTTAGTAGTACAAGTTAGACGTAATGGATAGAACTTCTATGTTTATAGTAGTGGAATAATATGGTTTGTAGTTGACAGTTAATTATAAATTTATTAGGATTAAATAAGCACTAAGCATAGGATTAAAATGTTATGGGAAGATAAAAGGGGATGCAAAGAGCCCAATTACATAGGGATAGAGCAAAATTAAGAGTACATGTTAAGTTTACCGAGAGTTGAAAGTAAAAGTAATTAATGTCATATATATCCACTATTACTAGTAAGTAAAATTACACTCCGTATTAAAGTTTCAAGAATAAATGAATGGATAAGTTCGATCAGTAGATGACTAGAGGATCTCTTTTCGAGCAACTAGAACTAGGTTGAACGTTCTAGATTAAGACTTGTATGTTTGGTCGTGTTAAAGTTAAAACTTAACATAATTTGAAGCCGTACTTTAATCACAAAGTTCTATCAAAATATATAGAGAATAATAGATACAGTATACCTATGACGGAGTAATACTGAAATGTGATCAACTGAATTGATGATGGCCTTCCGAATTTTCTTCTAAACTCGTGCATCAAATTGCGATGAAATGGTTTTAGCAAGAGCAACCTAAGATTTAATAAAGATATGATGAGATTTGCTTCAGATTGGGGGTATGTACCAGCAAACTAAATACGTTCCAAATATTCTTTAGCTACGAAGGGAGTAGTTGTTACACTTAATTAAAGCATTAACCTTTGCTTTAATTTGTTGCATCATAGGTTAAATATACATATACGTCATACCTTCTAGAAAAGATTGGTCATGTACTTTTACAAAGAAGAAATTCAAGCATGAAATATTCCTACAACTTTCACCCAAGCAATCAATCCCTACTTTAGCTCTTATTTTACTTGTAAATCAACAATGGTGTTGGTTTCACTGTATATACAATTTTTTCACGCTTTTTTCTTCTTGTTAATCCATGCCCGATTAACTTATTTCTTTCTTACATTTTTGAGGCCCTTTCATATGCACTATTATGCAACATGCATGTAGATAATTATAAGCGTCGTCTCTCAACGTCTTTCCTCAACACTTTAATTTTATAGGGTGGGGAAGTGACTATCGATAATGGAACTAACAAATTTATTAAGTATTTTTCGATAAGTGGAGTAACTATAAAGTCTAGCATAGTCATCGACTGCAAACGACTATTGTTGACTATAGAGCTCTTTTTTTCCAGTTTTACAGTTGGAACATTCACCATATCTATCGAGAGGCGAATAGAGCAGTAGATTGAATAGCAAATATTGGTCATTTAGTTAGTGATAATATGGATACTATATCTTGTAATAACTCTAGTTTAATTCCCATTCTTTTCTCAGATGCATTTAAATTACCCCTCGTGAGGATGGTTTCCTAATGTTTTTCCTTTTTTCTTACCTTTATTTTTTTTTTAAACAAAAAATTAAGGAACTAATAAACGTTACTAAACCTCCAAACTTTACTAACTATACAACTTAATTACTTCACTAATACTCCTCTATAAAACAAAACAAAAAACTTTAGTACGGAGTACAGTATCAAATAGTTAGGTTACTTTTTTTTTTAATAGTACACCACTACTTCGTAATAAATAATGTTGGATAATCATGTAGTGGATTCTTTGTTACGAGTACTCTGTAAGTCTGTATATACTTAACGAACCTTATCGGGAAAAGTTAGGAATTGAACGTGGTGCCCAATTACATAGGAATAGAGCAAGATTGGTAGTAATTAATTGTGTATTATTGTAGTACTCTGCATTACCTAGCGTTACATAACTCATGCCACCCTTATCTTCGGAAATTATAAGAAAAAACACTCTTGCCTCTCCTCTCCCCTTCTCTCCTCCTCTCTATCTTCTAGGGTTTCTCCAATTTATTGGCTGTTTAGATCGGAAATAGTCTAATTTCGACCCTTTTTCTTTAATTTTCTTTAGTTTTGCTATTTAATTTTCAATAAATCTACACAAGTAATGTAGATATTTATCTGTCTCCCTATGTTGGAGTCGTTAGATTTTGTTAGTTTTGTTGTTTGTTTTTATTTAGGGTTTTTGTGTGTGTTAAGGTTTATTAAAAAGGTAATCATCTTTTGCCCTATTATCAGTTCGTTGGTAAAGAGTTGTCCGGATTGCAACGGTTATCAAATCTTCAAAGGCGTTTAAGTGAATCAGATGAAAATTATCCTTACGGCTACAACAAATCGTTAGATCGTCTCTCCGAAAAGGCTGTATATTCTAGCGATGTTTGTTGTGCGAGAGATGTACCACAGTGTAAGGTCTATTCAACAATCGTAGCTTTGATAAAGGAAACCATTATTTGATTCAATTTTATGTATTTGTTGATTTAGATTTCATTTGTAGATGTCGTATGGCTTTTGATTAATGAATTGATTTGTTTCAAAAAAAAAAAATCTTCTAATATTATAAAACGAATCCCTTTTGTATACCCCGGTGTACATCAGTCATTAACACGTGCCATTTGTAACCACAGTCACACAGTAGTATCTGCACAGTCCAAAATAAAGAGAAAAATACCTTTACTTTTTGTTTTCTCTATCTCCAACTAGAAATTTGTTGAGATTTTCCAAAATATTATGATTTAATCCAACCTCAAAGCTGCTATATCAACTAGTAATTGGGCCAAATCTTAGCAAAAATCTGGTGGAATTATTACAAATTGTTTGGGTCCAATTTAGTCCAATTGGGCTTAGGCATTAAATGATCCAATTAAAAGCCCAAGGTCAAGGTTCATCTCTCCAATTGTGCTAAAGTCAAAGATCAGCCCTCAAGGCAAGCCAATTGGGCTAAGGCCCAACTTCTCCATGTATGAAGAGGTATAAAAGCCATCAATATTACATTTTTACATTCAGATTCTCATTAATTCAAGCAAAGCCTCAAGCAACTAATTCTCTTGCATAGTCTTCTCTTTCAACACATTGTACTGACTTTAGCATCGGAGGGGCCTTCCTCAGCAACACCCCCGAGGCTAGTTTACGTGTGTTTACTGTGCAGGAAACCTTCGGCCCAACATTACTTGGACCGAATCTAGTCTTCTCCGTTTCATCGGACCTTCGGCAAGGTCCCATTGTTTTCACCCGAAACAATTTGGCGCCGTCTGTGGGGAAGACTTTCAAAAATCTTTAAGCCAAATTTCTAACCAAGATCATCTTGCAATAATCTTAGTAGCAATGGCTAAGAACCGCAAGAGCAAAGGCCTCCGTCAAGGAGCGGGCGAAAAGCCTAAAACCCGTACACCATCACCCTCGCCGGACCGGAACTCTCCCAAGGGTGCCAGCTCGGGGGGAGGATCATACAAGGAGGATTCCCTTTCTCCCGTAATTCATGACTCTCATCATAGGCCGAGTCACTCTCGGTCTAGCAGGGGTGAGTCCGATCATAGGACGCATTCAGTGCCCCATAGCCAACCATCGACTGTGCGCCCTCATTCCTATACTCGGCCGAGGACCCCTTTGACGGGGCCCAGCTCGGAGGAGGTGGCAAGAGCGCTGGCAGTGCTCATGGAGGCGATGAGGGCACAAAATATGCCACCACCTCGTGATCGAACTCCTCCGCATACCCGGCATCAGCGGAGGAAGCTAGACCATGATGGTGGGAAGCTTCCTTCCTTCCGGGAACTAGAAGAGTGGGAAGAGGATACCTGGAAAAATGAAAAAGAGAGGAAAAAGAACCCTCAATTTTTAAAAGGATCCTCATCCTCCCGACCAGAGACGCATAAGAGCAGCAACTCAGCTTCTCGGCCAGAATCTACTCACCGAGAACCTGAGACTGTTCGCCGAAGCGTCCTCGACCGACTCGGCGGCAAGGAACCGAGCGTGCGCAGTCGCCTCTCGTTCCCTGCGGCCGAGGCCCAGACTTCCCAGCTAGGGACGAAAACCACTCCTAGCTCTCTAAGAGGGCGGAGCGCGGTCCCTTCGGCCAGGAACAAGGGCAAGGCCGTTATGCTACCCGCCAGTTCGCCATTCGAGCAATGGATACTGGAAGAGCACGTGCCCACGGTTAAAATACCGTCGCACATCACATATGATGGGACCTCGGATCCGAAGGACCACGTGGCCTCGTATGAGACTCATATGCATCTTTGCCCCAGATCCGAAGCGAGTTGGTGCAAATATTTCCCAACCATTCTCAAGGGGGTCGCGCAAGCGTGGATCTCCAAGGGAGTAAAGCAAGGCTCCATAACAGGGTGGGATGATCTGTCCTCCAAATTTAGGAGCAAGTTTTCCACGGCAAACCGCCGAGAGAAGACTACTGCAGAACTCATGAGTCTGCAACAGGGGGAAACCGAAAGCCTCCGAGACTATCTGACCCGTTTCAGTAACGAGTCATCCAGCGTCTCTCAGCTGGACCAGGGGCTAGCCGTTTTTGCAATGCAGAATGGCCTTCAACCCGGGAAGTTCCTTGACTTCATGGTCATGCATATCCCGCAGACCTTGGAGGAAGCTCTGAATGCCTCGAATAAGTTCATCCGAGCCGAAGAATGGAACAAAGCGAAAACCCAACCTCAATTCGGGGGAGGGAACAAAAACAAATACCCTTATCTGAAGGCCAAGGCCATAAGGCGAAGGGAAAGTCAAAGGCCTCGGAGCAATCTTCGGCCAGCGACCCAAAGAAGGAAAAATCTGCCTCATACACAGGCAGATACGAGTCCTACACTCCGCTCTCTCTTCCACGCGCCAAAATTTACAGCGTGACGAAGGAGGATCAGAGTTACCGAAAGCCGAGACCACTCCCAGAGTGGTATCAGCGAAAAAATAAAAATCAGTGGTGCGAGTTCCACGAATCTCCGGGACACAACACTGAGGAGTGTATCCAACTGAAGGACCAGATAGAGGACATGGTCCGGAAGGGATACTTGAAAAAATACATCGCGGATCACCGCGAGAAAAAAGAGTCCGAGAAGTCAGCAAAGGACTCTCGGCAAGACCTCGACTTCCCCCGGAAGAACAGTAAAAAACCGGAGGGGAAATTCTCTCCGATCAATGTTATCTCGGGAGGAGTATACTCTCGGAGGGAGCACAAGCGACACCTTAGGGCTTTGACTCACCAGATGAACAACGCTGATATTCAATCTCCCCAATCGCCGGTGCCGAACATGACGTTCACAGCCGCCGACTGCCGGGGGATAACGTTCCCTCACGAGGATCCGTTGGTGATCATCGCCACGGTGGCCAACCACGACGTCAGTAAGGTCCTTGTTGACGGTGGAAGCGGAGCAAACATTCTGTTCCGAAAGGCCTACAATCAAATCAAGCTGAAGCCCAAGCACCTTACGCCGGTACCCTACCCAGTATCCGGGTTCAACGGGGCTTCAACTTATCCAGATGGGAAAGTGACACTTCCTATCACCATCGGCTGCGATGAGGCAGCCAGGAACGTCATGATTGAATTTTTGGTCATTGACGCTCCTTCAGTGTACAACGTGATTTTGGGGAGACCCATAATTCATGAGATCCAAGGGGTCGTCTCAACTTATCATCAGCTGATGATTTACGTCTCAGACGCCGGCTTCCCCGAAAGGATACAGGGCAACCAAAAGGACGCCCGAAGGTGCAACTACCTCAAGCCATCCAGTAGTCGCCCAGATGACGACAAGGATGAGGAGGAGAAAGAAAAAGAAAGAGAGCCAAGCACAAAAAAGCCGAAAGGCCTAAGTG